AGAGAAGGTGTGTGGAAATCATTTACAGTCAAGAAGAGCTTTCATCCCTTTAACCCTAATTCTACAAGAGATCTCTGTTAATTTTGATCTGCAAAAATTTTGACTAGTCATAACAAAAAGATTTTATAATTCAATTGGCCAAAACCATCTGAGTGCACTCGTTAAAATTGTCTTATATGTTTGTCTGTCTTAAGTGTTATGTTTGTCTGTCTTAAATGTTCAAAGATGTTTGTATGTTCTTGAATGACGTCAAATATAAATAGATCATTGATTTCTACAATCTGGCTTTATAGGATCAAGTAAAAATTTAAAAGATAATTAAATATAACCTTTAAGTTTGGATACGCTCCTGCTGGTAAATAAAGCAGCTGCTCAGAAAATTTATTCTGATCTTTGTTCACCAATGGGAGCCACCAAAATAATTTTCATAGCCTTATAAAAAGATATGCCTTGTTAAATATGTTGTTAAAAAAGTCTATATTGGTTATCATCAAAGGTCTGAATTATAAAAATGTTATTGTAACATGTTTCTGATAGTTATTTTCAAAATATAATATTTTCTGAAAAAAAAAGGAAGATCCTGTTGATACAAAGCTACATTACAGGACATAAGAATTCATATAATTATAATAATTATTATTGCTACTTTTCTGGTATATAAAATGTATTCATATTGTTTGACCATGCAGGTTTTTCAGCATATTGTTTATGATAATAACCTTTCTGTCTAGGTATTCTCCCTTCTCTTCTGCTCCACCTATTTATGGTTACAGGTACATTTATAGATCTACCACTATCCCTGAACAGCTTGAAGCTGGGTTTCCACTGAGGAGACCGGATTGGGACCCCAACACTGAAGCATCAGAGAAAAACTTCAGGATGTATCTTGGTGCACAAGCGGAAACTTTATTATCCAGAACAAGGATTTAATGAGACATCACAAAAGTTTTAGACTGGTCACTCGAATATTCCACGGACTTAAGTTTGTCTGCAGAACTTTGGAAAATAGATTCACCTTAGAAAAGTTAGCGGGGAATCCCCTCTCTTTCAAGATTCAAATCACAGATGGTGGGATTTTCTGCTTGTCAGTACTACTGCTAAATAGTATTTTTCTGTAATATTTATTCCTGTATTGGCGATCATTGTAATTTTGATAATTTTTCATATTTGTAATTGTTATATGTATCGCAAGATGACAAGAATGTATCAATCTTTTGTGTTTCAATTTGCTATGGCTGTACAAGTTTCAGTAAAGGATGAGGCATCTCTGGTGACCATCTATTTGGCACAAGCCCGCCGTACATAATTCCCTCTCTGTGGAGCATCCAGAGACAGGTAAGGTCGGGGCCTCCTTTCTACCAACCTAAGACAGGCAAGAGGGACATAAGCCCTCTTCACTGATGACGGGTAAGGAGAAAGGACATCCCTGCCACCTAAGACAGGAGCTCTTTGACATATGTCTGGTACCCTCTAAGAGAAATGGGGGAGTTATGGAGAGCACAGCTATATTGACCTGTGATTCACCCGAGCAGTGTGGACGTGCCATCACCCATAGCAATGGGCTAGTTCAGCTGGTGATCTGATCTATTGCCTAGCAGATGTAACTCATAATAATTGTTATTACTTCCTTCTGGAATGTGTGGGCAGTACTTTCGCTCCCGTACAGCTGGAGAGTATAAAAGGAAAAGGTTCTGTAATAAAGCAAGCAAGTAACTTGAGAAGAACAGTGCCTTCCGTCTCTCTGTCCTCCTCCTTTCAGGTTTAGGACCTGCTGGCAGGATCCTGATGTCGCGCAGTTTGCGACAATGAGGTCCTGTCATATGCCTGCACTAATGACAGGGTTGTGTCCTGAGGTGTCCTCAGATGCCCTCAGGTGCCTGGGCTTTGACACATCTGACTGTGACTCCCTATACAAGTGATAAAAATTGTTCCTCCCAGATCATACCAGGAACTTGTCACAGCCTGGCTGTCTGGACTGTCATAAGGATCTCAGGCCACAAGACCCTAACCTAGGCACCGTTGTTTATGTGCACATTCCTAAGTGGGCTTTATTTTTCTCTTGTCTGCTTGTTCTTGTCAGGGCCTTATCTCTGGGATATATAATATATGTATATGTATA